TTGCAAGGGATTCTTGCAATTTGATCAAGTAAGAACAAGAATTTTCATTTTCTAGTGTTTTTTGCAAGGGAAAACGAGCGTCAACAAAAAACCGGATCCGGGCAATCCACTTTTCTGAAGCTTTCGCGAAAAAATGATGAAAATGTAGCTGCGGCCTAGGCGCGGCGCAGAGGTCGCGCACCAGGGGTCCCAACAATAATAATTCTTTAGAAGGAATAATGTTCAACAACAACAACAACAACGACAACGACGACGACAACGACAACGACAATAACACTCGGTAGTAGTTTCTACTGCTGTTCTAAAAAAAGTTCCAGGGAGTCCCCTGGCCATTCCTCCATCGAGCTCTGCGCGGAAAAAACGACAAACACCCACCCTGCATTTTTCTGTTATTTAGATGTGCCTTTCTGGGTGTTCTGTGGCCACCCCGGGCTCTGGGGGAAACCCACCGGACAAAAAAAACACTCGGGAATGTTTCATGTCATGTGCTTTCCGAGGGGCTCTCCGGCCATACAAGGCTCCCAAGAGTTGCTACTGAGCATCTGTTCTGATCGATGTACGAGCTGTTTTGAGCAACCAAAACAGGAACCCTAACCCGTTGGGAAGGGCCCAAAGTTAGGAGGGCCCAACACATTAGGGATAGAGGGAGTCTACTCTGCAGAAATATCGAGCCAAACCGCCCAGAATTATTATCCCGAATACTGAGAGGGGACCTAAGTGAGCCCACGTCTTCATCGTGTTATTCAGGTTAGGGGCCCTCTTGTGTTCGATGAGTTCTGAACCGTCTGACTTACCCAAGTCGCGCGCGGCGCGGTGACTCGGGGGAGGGTCCGCCGAGACAACGGCGGCGTTCCAGCGCTGCCCACCTCCGTTCAGAACGGGCCATCCTGACCCGCTCGTCGAAGCGGATCCAGCCGCGGCGACGAGAAGCAGCCAGGTGGTCCGCAGAGGACAAAAAAACACTTGGGAATGCCGCCAGTGTCCCGGCTAGCTCTCCCACCGAGGCATCGGGGAGAAATGACCCGGGTGGATGCAAACCCGGGCCGATCGGGCTTTGCAGAATCCTGCAAGATCTTGCAGGATCCTGCGCCCGAACCCGGGTCAATGCAACCCTGGCCTTGCAGGATCCTGCAAGATCCGGCGCTCTGGCCGACCCACGTTTGCATGCCTCCTAAATGGGGTCGGAGTAGATAGGGTCGGAAGATCGCGCCACACCGACGATACATCGGCGATGCACTGGCGATGCATCGGCGACGTCGGCGATGCATCGGCGACGTCCCGAGCCGCATCTGCGATGCATCGGCGACGCGGCGCGATCCTGCGACCCCATCTACTCCGACCCCATCTAGGAGGCCTAGATTGCACTGAATCCCATCTTTCGTGTGCGATGTGCGTGTGTAGTGGTACCCGCCGCCGAGCGCTGGTCTATGCACAGCGGCTGTGACCCGGCGCACGTACATTCAGTATAATTGTCTGCACATGTTCTGGCCTGTGTTTTCGTGCCAGTGTGTGCCGATGCGCCGTCTAGGCGCGGCCTCTTCCTGTCCTGCCCTGCCCGTCTCTGACGGCTCGAAGGCATGCTCGCGCCCCCGCAACGGCCCCCCTCGACGAAGGACCGCTCCCGACCATGGCCGCGGGCCGCGGCGCGCCGAGGGAGCGGGGCGTCACCGCCGCCCCCCGCGGGTGGACTGCACCCTCCCGTGGCCACCCTGGCCTTGCCAAACTGGGCCCCCTTTGGCCCGGCTGGGCCTGGGACGGTGGCGCCATGATGCGAGCGGCTCAGGGCACGTTTTGGGAACTCCGAAGCGTTTGGGGCCCGCGGCCTACACCAGCAGGAAGCCTACATCATCCTTTGGCCTCCCTGGCTCGTCAAAAGCTGGGCCCCTTGGGCACGTCTGGACCTGGAACGATAGTGGCGTCATGACTTAGGTCGGGCATGTCCTCCTACAGCCAGACGTTCGAAGAAAAATGAACAAATAGTCAACAAATGCTCAGACATAGCCGAGAGGGCACGACCAATTCTCGAATATACCTCCTGTAGAGGGACATCCCGACAGAAATCATGATGCGAGCGGCTCAAGGCACGCTCTGGTTATCCCGAAGTTTCTGGGGCCCTCGGCCATTCGCGCCCGGCTACTCGTCTCCCGCCGCGCGGGGGCCACAGGAGAACCTGGCAATACTCCGAGCAGGAGCTCGACCACAGAATTGGCTTGCCCCAGGAACTGATGCTCACCCTCGAGGATACAAAAAAATATGGTAGGCATTGATCTACGTGCATCAATCGTGTTTGGTTGCCATCTCGGGAGACAACGAACCATTTCGTTGCAAGTCAACTATGCACGGTGGGGGCCTTTTTTTATCCTATCACCCTGGGGCTTATCATGCACAGACAAATTCAGATGCCGTCTTACGGCCCCGCAAACAGCGCTTGCGCGAGCCCGCAGCCCGCCAGGACCAGACCCCGAAGCGCGGCACCATCACACCGCGCTGAGGCCGACTTCAGGCCTGGGGTCCACCGACCTGGCCTCACTGGCGGCCCTGCCTCGCTCCTGAGCTTCAGCAGCGCTGGCAAAGCCGAAGGAGCCCAGGGCTCCCTCGAGCCCTGGGCGAAACAGCCTCCCTGGGGCAGGCGGGGCGGGTGCCCGTTCCCGCCTCTCTGGGGGCTCCACGCTCGCAAAGAGAAAGCGGTGTCCGCCGCCTACTGCTGGAGCTGCGCCTCGCGCCTCCGCTGCCGCTCCTGCCTGGCCCACGCCCTCCACGGGGAGCCAGGCCCGAACGCGTCACGGAGCCAGAGGCGCCCAGCTTCTAGCTCGGAGGCTGAGGGAGCTGGAGGAGCGTCGTCGCCGCCGTCGCCCTGCCAGCCCGGCTTCCGAATGTCACGGTCGACCGTGAGGGCCACGGTTCCCTCGAAGACGCGGCGGCGCAGCGCCGAGAGCCGCTTGGGCCCACGCGCGGGCTCCTGGCGCGCCACCGTCCCCGAGCCGTGGAGCGTACAGCCGCCACCGACGCCGCCCTCGCCGCCCTCCGCATCGATCCTCCCGCCGCCAGAGCAGGAGCAGGAACCCGAGGGAGGCGAAGTGAGGAGGGCGTCGTCGTCCAGGCTCCTGCCGCCGTTGCGCTGGGGCCCAGCCGCCTCCACGCCGTCGCCCATGCCGACGTGCGGGGAGAGGTCGAAGCCGCCGTGCGCCACGGCATCCGAGGCCAGAGCACTGTTTCCGTCCTGGTTGCGGGAGCCGTCCACCTGCATGCTGAGCTCGCCGTCGATGTCGCCAGCGGCCATCTCGCTGCCACCGCTGAGGACGGCAGCCTCGTTGGCCAGCAAGTACGCCGTGACGATCGAGGGGTCCGCGAAAGCAGCAGGAGAGGAGGTGCAGGCAGTGCTGCACGCCGCACCAGGAGCAGGGAGGCGATGAGGATGACCAACACCCCCTTCAGAAGGCCGAGGGGCAGGGTGCTCGCCGAAGCCGCCGCTGCTCTCAGGCCTGTGCTTGTCGAGCCCCATGGGCGCCGCCGCCACGGGAGCCTTCTGCGCCTCCTTGCTGTCGAAGTGGGTGCCGTGCGAGGCGCCGCCGACGCCGACTACGTCGCTGTCCTCGACGCTCCACTTCCACCAGCGCGGGCCCGAGGCCAAGGGCAGCGGCCTCGCCTCGGGAGCCCGCCTCGCGCGCTCGGCCAGCGCGAAGATGGCGCCAGGCGGCGCGCTGCGCCCGCGGTAGGCCCGAGCGACCGTCCAATCGCTCGGGGCCGCCTCGCAGGCGGCACGCGCCTCTGGCTGGCGGCGCGGCGGGGCAGGAGCGCCGCCTCGGAGAGGGGGGCGACGCTCCTCCGACCGCTGCCGCACATGGGAGGCTGCACCAGCAGAGCGAGGTAGAGGAAGAGCAGCCCGTGCGCGAACACCAGCGCCGCGGACGCGACCGTGCCGAGCTTGCCCTCCGAGGTGTACCCGCCCCGCCTTGGCAGACCTCTGCAGGCGATTGAGGGAGGACTGCCGCATCACCGAAATGCTAGCGGCCCTCCTTGCTGCGCAGTGGAGCCCAGCGTTGCGCCGAGAACGGTGCAGCGGACCCACACCAGCCACCGCACGGCTGCCGCTGCCCCACCGTTCGCCTGCCTGAGCCTGGGTAGGCTCGCCCGCGGCCGTGCCAGCACCGTCGCCTTCACCCTGTAGCACGCCGCTGAGGGGCATGCTCTGGGCGCCGTCGACTCGGTGAGCGCTGGCGGCCGCTGCTGCCTGCCCGCTCCCCTGCTCTCCTTCGCCCGCTCCCGCAAGCCGCAAGGGCCCAGGAGTCGGCCGAGGGGCCGAAGAGGTGTCGGCCGCCGCACGCTGCGGGCCTGCCAGCACCTCCAGGAGGACGGGGACCGCCAGCGCCAGCCTCTCGGAGACCTCGCGGTGGAGCGCCTCGCTGGGAAGCTGGGCTGAGCCTTGGGCCGCCAGCGCCAGCGCCTGGGCCGCCGCCGCCTCGTGGGCGACCCGCAGAGCCGCGAGTTCCGCCTCGAGGACTGCGACGCGCCCCAGCGCCGCCCGCAGCTTGCCCTGGTCGGCCTCACGCGCCGCGGCCCGTCGGGCACGTCGCGCAGGCCAGAGCGAAGCCGCAGCCCCGCCGTGCTGAGGCGGCTCGGCTGCCGTACAGGCAGCTCGGCCGCCGCCCGCAGCCATCCCCCAAGCAGTCGATCTCTGCGGCCACCCGCGGGGCCCAAAACGAGAGCGCGCAGTGGGATCGGCTTGAGCCAAAATGGCTTGAGCCAAAATGGCTACGGACGGTGGGGGCCTTGGATAAGGAACCATTGGATAAGGAATCCAGGGTCCGGAGGCCGGTGGAACTCCAATCGTGGATCGGCCATGGATATCACCGCCGCCCTCATTGGAGAAGGAATCCTCCAGGGTCTGGCGCCTCCTAGGGCTATTCCTGAACAAACGCCTGCACCGAAGCCGTTCTCCGACTCGAAAGAGAGCCTGGCAAATACTGGAACGCCTCATTCTCATCCTCCCAGCCATGGGCCTCGCCCGCGCCGCAACGGTAGAACTCGGACTTCTCCGCCTTGCTCCTGGGTCCCACCTTCCGGAGGGGAAGCAGCGACACACGGCACACGCCCGCCCCGCCCGCTCAGAGGGAGGGAGTTTCAGGACTCATCGAGTAGAGGATCGACTCCAGAATTGAGTTGCCCCAAAATCTAGATTCCCGTCGGATCTGCGACAAGCAAGCAAGCAAGTCGAGTACGTACAGTACGTGTCGCGCTCTGCCACGTGTCCCCAAACAGGGCTCGTCTGTTGGCAGCCGTGGATACCATTCTCACCGCCTACAGAACTCAGCGCAATCCTTCTTCATCAATTTCCGATGGTCCCAATCTTGCGCGGCTGCGATCCAAAAGGAAGCGCCGACCGGCCTCCCGGCGACATATACGTAGACTGTTCCGCAAATCTACGGGGCACTCTGCATGATTCGTAGATTCGACGAATCGAATATGTAGTCGATATCCGACTAGGGGGATTACCCGCTGGTCGGAAGAAGTAGGCAAAACATGAAACAGGAAGGCGTTGGAAACAGATTGGATTCCCACCCACCCTCGAAGAAGATGGAAGAGGGAAAACCTCCCAGCTCTTGAATTAGGAAGGCGTCTAACATAGATTGTGGTCTGGGAGTCCAACAAAACATACTCTCAACGACCGGCATGTATGGCTTTCTCGCGCGTGCCCGATCAGGTGGCACGAGGTCCAGGCAGCAGAGAAGAGAAGAAAAATAATAGACGGCCACCGACGACGACGGCGACGACGACGAAGAGGCACGACGGCGGCGCGAGGACGACAAACGACACGGCGACGATGACAGACGCACGAACGCAACCACGCGCATGTGCAAGCTGGGCGCACTGTTCTTGCCCCTTTCCTCCTCCTCCTCCTCTTCCTCCTCCTCCTCCTCCTCCTCCTCCTCATCCTCCTCATCCTCCTTCTCCGCCTCATCCTCCTCCCCCTCCTCCCCCTCCTCTTCCTCACCCTCCTCTTCCTCCTCCTCCTCCTCCTCATCCTCATCCTCCTCGTGTTGTGCTTGTTGCTGGCCTTGCCACCAAAGTACCGAGGCCGCCACTCCGCGGGTCTCTCCAGGGCTGCGTTCTGCGAGAAATCTTTCGAGGCGAACACGGCCGTGGCGACGAGGGCCTCCCCGGAGGCCCAGGAAGGGGAAAACGAAGGAGGGGCAGCGGTATAGACCGGTCGGAAGAAGTAGGTCGAAAACGTGAAGTAGGAAGGCCGATAAATAGATTGGGTTGAAACAGGAAGGCGCCTGAAGTAGATTGCGTTCTGGGAATCCCAAAATACCTGCTTTCAACGACCGATGAGTATGGGTACCTTTTCCTCCTCTGAGGGAGGAGGGACGGACAAAACCTGACTAGGAGAAGTCGAGATCTCTGAGATCTGGCGGCTCTGGATGATGTATCAGGTGGCGTGGCCGCTCCAGGCTTTAGCCCCGCCCGGTCGACAGACCGATCCTCATCTTGGAGGCAGCCAGCGGGCCGGAGCTGGATGGGTACATAGAGGGGGACGAAGCCAAATCCGCTCAATATCTGCTCCTGGACCCCTCCCAGGGTCCATCTGGTGTACAGTAAGGGCTCGACCACAAGAAACCTTCCACAAGAAACCCAACCCTGAGACCCCAGGACGTCCACTAGTTTTTGGTGTGGAAACGTCGCGCTCTCCACGGCAAAACCATCGAAACCCAGGAGAATCAGGGCACCCTGGAGGCGAGCAGGGTGCCCCTTGGCATGGGCCCACACTTTAGTTTTGCACCCCGAGCTTCCGCTGACGGTCCCAGGACCCCAAAAAGGGCCCTAGGGAGGCCAAAAGAAGCAACAAACAAAAGACACGTTTTTTTCATGCCACGGCAAACGAAGCCTTAACCTACTCATGACAGAGCGCCAAAGCTAGTCCCGCACGAACGGAACCAACACAAAACAGGCGATGAACAACGAGGAAGATACGGACGAAAACGGAGTGAAAACTGTGAAGCCGCACTCTGGCGACTGGCGAAAACGGAGCTAAAACTGCTGATCGTTGACCGAGGGCCGCTGGAGGGGCCACGGGGTGCGCCCGCCCCTGCCGCCCGGGCCTTGTACGTCGGGGCAAAGCCCACGGGGGCCTCGAACAGGCCCGACTGGCGGACCCGGCTCTGCACGGCCTGCCGCTCCCACACCCTCTTCCCGTTGAAGAGCCAGTTGTCGGGCTCCTCCGTCGTGCGCTCCTGAGACAGAGCTGATGGGCCCACTTCCCACCACCGCTGCCACAGGTAGGAACGGGAGGAGGAAGAAGAGGAGGACCTCCCATCCTGCCTTCTCCCCCGTCGTACTTCTGGTAGCCGTGGTGGAGACTGACCCGTCAAAAGAGGAAGGAGCAGAGCAAGCCTGAGCTCTCGGAGGTCCGCGCCGGTAGCTCGGATTGGTGCTGGACACCCCTCCCTGGCGCGCGGAGCGGCGCCTTGGGCGCCGCCACGAGGGTCCAGCGCCGATCAGAGAAGCCTACGAGGACCTTCGAAAGTCCGTGTGTCATGCAGTGTGTGTGTTGCCTCGAGCTCCAGGCATCGCACCTCGTCGTGGGCAAGCATGTGCGCCAGCTCGTCCACGTCCTCGTGCGGTGACCCGCCCAGCTTGTAGGCCCCGTCGCCAGGGTTGAACAGGTCCAGCACGTGGTCCAGGGAGCTCGGCGAGTTGCCCTCGTCCGCGTACGCCGGCACGGGCTCCTCGACCGGCGAGGTGTCCTCGCCCTCCTCGCAGTGCAGCCGCGAGTTGAAGTCTCCGACGAACACGAGGGAATCGCACTGGGCTTTCTTTGCCTCGGCCGCGGCAGCCTCCAGATAGCGCATCCTGCTGGCAGCCTCGCCCGCAAAGCTCATGTGAGTGTTGAGGGCGCAATAAAGGAAGCTTACGTCTCCGCGCGAGACCCTGAATCTGAACAGATTGACGACCTTGCCGCACTCCATGCCGTTGTTGTTGTCGATGCTGCACCCTACGCTCCTAAAGGGAGGCCCCAAAGGGGAGGACCAGCTCTAGGGGGCGGAAGCCGAACATCGACGCCGACAGATCGGCGACAGGCCCCCGACAGCGAGGCTACACGTTCCAGCGCAGGGTGGAGCACCCGGCGCATCGATCCACAACGAGTGGGCGCTTGGAGGTCGTGTGTTCCCTCAGCCCTCCTCTGTCCTCCTCCGTCCTCCTCGGATTTCGTCCTCCTCCTCCTCTTCCCCCTCCTCCTCCTCCTCCTCCTGCTCCTCCTCCTCCTCATCATCATCAGCATCATCATCAGAATCAGCATCATCAGCATCAGCAGCATCATCATCATCATCATCATCATCATCATCATCATCATCATCATCAGCATCATCAGCATCCTCATCATCATTGTCATCATCATCAGCAGCAGCATCATCGTCAACATGATCATCATCATCATCATCATCATCATCATCATCATCATCATCATCATCATCATCATCATCATCATCATCATCATCATCATCATCATCATCATCATCATCATCATCATCATCATCATCATCATCATCATCATCATCATCCGCCTCCTCCTCCTTCTGCTCCTGCTCCTGCTCCTGCTCCTGCTCCTCCTCCTTCTCCACCGCCTCCTCCTCCTCGTCCTCCTCCTCCTCCTCCTCCTCGTCCTCCTCCTCATCCTCCTCTTCCTCCTCCTCCTCCTCATCCTCCTACTCCTCCGTCCTCCTCCTCCTCCGTCCTCCCTCCTCCTCCATCCTCTGACCTCCGTCCACCCTCCTCCGTCCAAGGTCCTCCGTCCCTCGTCCTCGGTCCTCCGTCCTCCTCCAACATCCTCCTCCTCCTCCTCCTTCTCCTCATCCTCCTCCGTCCAAGGTCCTCCGTCCAAGGTCCTCCGTCCTCCGTCTTCCTCCTTCGCCTGCTTCTCCTTCTCCTCCTCCTCCTCCTCCTCCTTCTCCTCCTCCTCCTCCTCCTCCTCAAGCCTCCTCCTCAAGTCTCCTCTTCCTCCTCTTTCTCCATCTCCTCTTTCTTCTCCTCCTCTTTCTCCTCCTTCTCCTCCTCCTCTCCTCCTCCTCCTCCGTCCTCCTCCTTCCTCCTCCTCCTCCTCCTCCAACTCCTCCTCCTCCTCCTCCTTCTCCTCCGCCCTCCCCGAGCCCTCCCCTGGTTTCGGCGCCCCCGCGTTCCCCCTGCTGCTGTCAGCAATGCACGTGTCACTGAACCATGGCTCCGCGGCAACGCTCCAATTGGACCAGGGGTTCACGAACGCGTACATGACAGTGTTGTAGTGAGACCCCGCCGTGCACCGGTAGCCCGAGCTGAAGACAACGGGATGGAAAGGGGTGTCCACGTCATCCGGCCGGACCTCGGGCGCGGATCTCCGTACCAGCGCCTCATACTTCTACGCAAAATGGCTCTTGACCTGCTTAACTGCTGCTACGCCTGCGCCGAAAGCTCCTCCTGCTGCCCCCTTGCCCATCTCCCTCCTTCCCCTCCCCCCCGTCCCCCCCCTCTCCCCTCCTCCGCCGAGCCATGCTCTTTACACCTCCCACCTCCTCCACTGCCTCTCCCTCTCCTCCTCCTTCAGTTTCTATCCTCGTCTCTACTTTCCTGCCCATCCTCGTGCTCCTGCTTCTCCTTCTCGCCTCATCATCATCATCATCATCATCATCATCATCATCATCATCATCATCATCATCATCATCATCATCATCATCATCATCATCATCATCATCATCATCATCAGCATCATCATCATCATCATCATCATCATCATCATCATCATCATCATCATCAGCATCAGCATCAGCATCAGCATCATCATCATCATCAGCAGCAGCAGCATCAGAATCATCACAAAAATCGCCGTCGTCATCATGATCATCATCATCACCACCACCACAATCATCGGCATCAGCATCAGCATGAGCATCACCATCATCATCATCATCATCAGCAGCAGCATCAGCATCATCGTCTTCAACATCATCATCATCATCATCATCATCATCAGCATCATCATCAGCATCAGCATCATCATCATCAGCATCATCATGATCGTCGTAACATCGTCATCATCATCAACAGCATCATCAGCATCAGCATCATCATCACCAACATCCTCATCATCCTCATCATCAGCATCAGCATCATCATCACCATCATCAGCATCCTCAGCATCAGTATCAGCATCATCATCACCAGTATCAGCATCATCAGCACCAGCACCAGCACCACCACCACCACCACCACCATCATCGAAATCATCATCATCAGCATCGTCGTCAGCATCGTCATCATCATCAGCAGGATCATCATAATCATCATCATCATCATCATCATCATCATCATCATCATCATCATCATCATCATGATACGCATCATCACCATCATCATCATCAGCATCAGCATCAACAGCAGTAGCATCATCAGCATCAACAGCAACAGCATCAGCATCAGCCTCAGCCTCAGCACCATCATCGCCATCATCAGCATCATCATCGGCAGAATCATCAGCATCAGCATCAGCATCAGCATCAGCATCATCATCATCATCAGCATCAGCAGCCTCGTCAGCATCATCATCAACACAACCATAATGAGCATCAGCATAAGCAGCATCAGCATCATCATCGCCATGACCATTACTATCAGCATCACCATCATCAGCATTAGCATCAGCATCATCATCATCAGCATCAGCATCGTCATGAGCATCGTAATCATCATCATCAACAGCAGCATCGTCAGCATCATCATCGTCATCATAAGCATCATCATCATCATCAGCAGCATCATCATCATCGTCACCAACAGCATCATCAGCAGCAGCATCATCAGCATCAACAGCAGCAACATCAGCATCGGCCTAAGCCTCAGCACCATCATCATCATCAGCAACACCATCATCATCATCATCAGCAACAGCATCATCATCAGCAACACCATTATCAGCATCATCATCATCATCATCATCATGATACGCATCATCATCATCATCGTCGTCACCGTCATCGACACCACCGTCATCAGCACCAGCATGAGCATAAGCATGATTAGCATCAGCAGCGGCATCAGCATCAGTATCAGCATCAGCAGCATCATCATCAGCATCATCCCAATCGTCATCATCATTGGCAGCAGCATAAACATCACCATCGTGAGCATCACCATCATCATCATCATCATCAGCATCATCATCATCATCATCATCATCATCATCAGCATCATCATCATCATAGTCATCAGCATCAGCATCATCACAATCAGCATCATAATCGTCATCATCAGCATCATAGGCATAATCATCATCAAAAACGTCATCATCATCATCATCATCATCATCAGCAGCATCATCATCATCGTTATCGCCATCGTAATCGTCATCAGCATCAGCGTCATAATCAACAGTTGCAGCAGCGCATCATATCATCAGCAGCAGCATCAGCAGTACCAATATCATCATCCGCAGCAGCAGCAGTAGCATCATCTCCATCATCCTCAATATCATCATCCGTATCCTCCATATCGTCATCACCAGCAGCATCATCAGGACCACCATCATCATCATCATCATCATCAACAGCATCATCAGCTGTTGCATCGTCATGATTAGCGTCGTCGCAATTATCACCATGATCATCAGCAGCATCATCGCCAGCATCAGCATCACCATCATCATCAGCAGCATCCTAATTATCATCACCGACATCGTCATCAGCATCATCATCACAATCAGTAGCATCATCATGAGCATAGTCATCATCAGCAACATCATCATCTACATCATCATCATCATCATCATCATCATCATCATCATCATCATAATCCTAATCATAATCATCATCATCATCAGCAGCAGCAGCATCAGCATCAGCATCAGCATCATCATAGTCGTCGTCGCCGTCAGCAGCAGCAGCAGCATTATCGCCACCATCACCCGTCCCCGCTCGCTCACCCTCCTCATGCCCCGCTCCGTCCCTCGTCCTCCATCTTATTTCTCGTCTTCATCTTCTTCCTCTTCTTCCACTTCCTCCTCCTGCTCGTGCTCGTTCTCCTCCTCGTCCTCCTTCTCCTCCTCGTATTCCTCCTCCTCCTCCTCATTCCCTCCTCCTTCGCTCACACTGGCCCGAGCGGTCACACGGCCGCGCTTACCCTTCTCCTGGGCGGCGGGATGGCGGGGCGGGCCGCGCCGCCGCTCCTGCGCCCCGGTGGCAGCTGCGGCGTGCTCGGCGGCGTCGGCCTCTGCGTTAAGTCGGGCGTGTCCCTCTACAGGAGGTACATTCAAAAATAGTCAACAAAATAGTCTGGGGACGATTCATTCGAACTATTTGGATTAGTGTTGTATATGTCTTGGCTGTTTTATATTTTTCACCCAATACCAGCCTGTAGGGGGACACGCCCGACCTAACCTTTGCGACCACCGAGCGGCCAGCGACGCCTGCTGCCGCGGGTGGGCCTGCGGCCGCGATGACGACCAGCCACAGCAGGGGGAGCGGTGCCCCTTACCCCACCCTGGAGGCCACATCTTAGCAACAATCTCTCGAGAGTGGCGTCGAATCCGATGGGCCCCCCCTCGGGGGGCAGGGACCACAGCACCCCCACTCGCAGCTGACCCACGATTCTACGAGTGCGCAGGCCCCCGCGTTCCGACGCCGCCGTGGCGGCCCTGGCGGCGCGGCGGAGGCGCCGACGCCGGCGGAGGGCGGAGGCGGCTCGGGAAGGCAAAGGCCCCGAGGCGGACCGCGGGCGAGGCGGCGGCGAGCGATGGCCGCTGGAGATGGGACGCGGCGGCCGATGGCGGCGGCCCGCAGCTGCGCGGCACCTGGGCCGGCGGCCCGCAGCGGCGCGGCGCACCGGCCGCAGCTTGTGGCGCGGCGCTGCGCGGCACTGCGGCGCACCCGGCGGCCCCGCTGGCGGCCCCATCTCGGCGCTCGCGCCCGGGGCGACGAGTTCCTGGGCCCGCGGGCGCGCAGAGGCCCTCATCGGGGCACCCGCGGCCTCGCTCGCGCCGCCATCTCGCACGGCCCGAGCGTGCTGCCGGAGGCACTCGAGGAGCTCACCCACCTCGTGGAGGCGAAGGGCGGGCTGCCGAGGGCGGGCGGCGCGGGGGGGCGGCAGCGCGGTGTGCGAGAGGGGCGGTTCGGGGCCTGGGCGTTCTGCGGCTGTGGCGCCGACTCACCCCGCCCCCGTCCTGCACACGAGGTCCTCCTGCTCGACCTCCTCCGCGCCGTCCTCTTCCAGAGACTGCCGCTCCCGAGACGCACCGTCGCCAGGTGCTGCTCATCCCCGAGGGCGGCTCTCCGATGCCTCAATCCTGGGCCCTCCTCCTTCCCCCCCTCTCAGCACGAACGAAATGGGTACGGAAGAAATGGAGATAAGAGACCAGCAGCTCCTGTCCGTTTTGACCAGGGCTCGCTGCCAGTGTCGCCGCGGATGTTGCAGCCAAGGTTGCCTTACCCAACAGCAGCCGCTGTCAGTACTGGACAAGTTTTGATGTTGGTCATCGTAGCCATTCTTTCCGCACGAATTTCGGGCGCCCAGATCCTGCTTACACCCGCTCCGACGACGGCGGCGACCGCCAGCGGACCCGCAGGGCTGGTCTCCGCAGCAGGCCCCTCGCTTCGTCGCCGACGCTGGGACTCCAGCCGCCCTTCTCGCGGTCCCCCGACAGGTCCTGAGGGAGGTGACGCTTAAGACGGCCCCGCATCCACCTCCGCCTCCGCCGGCCTCCGCCGTCTCCGCCTCCGGCTCCGCCTCCTCCTCCTCCGCCTCCTCCGCCGCCTCCGCCACCTCAGCCGCTTCCGACTCCTCCGCCTCCTCCGCCTCCGCTTCCTCGATCCCTGGAGTCGTTGGTGCATTGCACCCTCGCTTGAACGTCGACCTTGGCATGGTCACGGAGGCGGAGGTCCGCCCAGTTCTGATGGAGATGAAATGCTGGAGAGCATGTAATCCAAACGGCATCCCCACCGAGGTTTTCAAGGCTATGGCATAAGAGCCGGGTCAGATGCAGTGGTTGTTGAACCTGTGCAACGAAGCTTGGGATCGCAAGGTCGTCGAAGACTTGGCTGTCTCGCAGGTGTGCTTGCTGCACGAAACAGGCAACCCCGCTTTTGCAATTCGCTGGCCCAACGGGCCAGAGGCGTGCTAAGATCTCCAGCAACTGCTTTACAATAATTCTACTTCGCGCGCACGGGGCGGCCCCTGGGGTCCCCTGAAGATGAGTACCCCGGGCAGGTCCCAGGCGACTCGGGTCAGAGATGGTTTTCCTCCTGAGCGCCGCCCTTGAGGCCGTCCATAAAGCCCCAAGAAAGGCCAAGAGGCCGCCAAGCGCCCCTCAAGATGATACAAGAGAGCTCTGACATGCCACAAGATCGCTCCAGGACGCCCCAGATGACCCCCAGACGGCCCAAGAGGCCTCTAAGAGCACTCTCGAGAGGACCCAAGAGGCAAAAAGCATTGTTTCCCCTTGTGTTTTGGATTTTCGCGTTTCCACCTTTTCGGCTTCCCGACACCCCAAGACGGCCCAAGAGACCCCCAAGACCGACCCAACAGGGCCCAAGGCGCATTCAAGAGGGCCCCAAAACGGCCCAAGAGGGCTCCAAGACGGCCCAAGAGGCCTCCAAGACGGCCCAAGAAAGCCCCAAGAACGCCCCAAGAGAGGTCCCAGGGGGGAGCACGAAACATCATTTCCAGCCCTCGGCCCCAAGAAGCCCCCAGGAGCCCCCAAGAGGCCCCTAGGAGGCCCCACGAGGCCCCTAACAGGCCCTCGGGAGGCCCCCAAGAGGCCCCAAGCGGCCCCAGGAGGTGCCCAACACGCCCCCCGAGCACGCAGGCAAGTGCCAACGACCCGACGCGTTTAAGAGTCCCCAAGAGGCCGCCAAGAGGCTTCCCGAAAGAGTCCCCATAAGCAAAACGTTTCCAGACGACCCGCGACGCGTTCAAGACTCCCCCAGCGGCCACCAAGAAGCCGCACATGCCGACCGCAAAGCCTGATAAAACAGCCGCCGCCCCTGCAGTTCCGCACCGCGAAAAACCACTCGGCCCGTCGACAACGGCGTGCAATATGGGCTGGCGGAATGAGCGAAGCGATTCAATACTTGCCGCCCATTTTCATCATAATGCATTGCATCGACAGTTTTCTTCGGCCGTGCTCAAAAACAGGTTTCTGGCGGCAGCCTTTGGCGAACGAATACGGCGTTCATAATGTTTGTTCTGAGCTGGGCGTGGCACCGAACAGGCGATCTACACCACACGCCGGCGGAGGTTGTCAGGGTGAGGAAGTTCGGGAGAGCGACGCTGGTCATTGTGGATTGGAAAAACCTTCGGCAAGAAACGGACAAACAATGTGATACATGCACTCTGGCGTCTTGGCTTACCTTCAGAGCTCTGGCAATGGTGAAGTCGATGATGAAACAACGATTATCAACATCGCGAGACACTAGTTGCACATCGGACCCGGAGCCGCTGAAACGAGGCATTTCGAAAAGCTGCACGTTCAGCCCACTTCTCTATGCCCATGGTATGACCGCGCTGCTGTACGAAGCTGCGGCCGCGCTAGCAAATGGAGCCCGGCAGGCTCACCCGCCACTCGGAAGAAGCAGGTGGAAACATTAACTGAGAAGGCAGCTAAAGTAGATTGGGTTCGGGCCCGCCCCAATGAAACCATACTCCGACGGTAAGACCCCAAGCGAATATATGTTTAGCTTACCCTTCGCCCTTCCCCCGTCGAACTGGCGGACATCCTCCTGTCGCCCTGAACTCTTCTCTTTCCTCTTCCCCCTATGTTTAACTCTCCTCCTCCATCTCCTCCTCCTCCTCGTCCTCCTCGTCCTCCTCCTTCTCCACCTCCTCCTCCCCATCACCACCCTCCCTCTATCCCTGCCCCCCTCCTCATCCTCCTGCCGCATCTCCACGTGCACCTCCTGTCTCCCTGGTCGGTTCATAAAGTCGGTTTTCCGCGGCGCCGTCGCCGCCTCGGCCAACGCGCGCGCGTTCGCCGACGGCTAGATCGCGAAGCCCCTCTGGGACAGCCCCGCGGGCCACGCTTCTGGACGGGGCAACCCCGCGGGCCGCTGGGGCGCGAGGGCAGGCCGTCGGGGCAACCCCGCGGGCCAGACCGCTGGGACAACCCCGCGGGCCGCTCAAGCCGCGCGCCGCGGCGTCCAGGCGGGCGGCAGCACGAAGCCAAGCTCCGCGACGAACTGCTCGGCCTCACCCCTGGAGGTCTTCGCTTTCTCATCGAACTCCTTGAGCGCCTCCCGCAATGGCGCCGGCGGCCTGCGCCCCAGAAACTCGCGCGAAGGCGGCCGCGGGATCAGCACGCTCCGCGTGCACGCGGCGTGGGAGAGCATCACGTAGAGGAGCAGCCACCGCTGGTCGTCCGACATGCCCGCGCGGCCAGCGCCCTCGCCCCTCGCGCAATCGATGGCGACGCCCTTGCGCAGCGTCTGGCCCTGCGACAGCGCGGAGGCGAGGTAGGACGCGCGAGCCACGGCGACCCCCGAGCGGCGCGCGGCGCGCGGCCCCGAGCTCTGTCGGGTGAATTCCTGCTCGCTGGGCCTGAACATCAGCAAGCTCCGAGCCCGCGCCTCGGCCTGGCCGTCGCGGTCGACGTCTTCAGCGCCCTGTCGCAGCACCTCGGCAACCTCCCGGTGGATCGGAGACCCCTTGAAGCCGCGCACCTGCAGCCAGATTCCCTGCGGTAGGAACCGGGGGCGAAAGAGCTGGCCTGCCGGGCGCTCCTCGCGCCGCTGCTCGCCCTCGCGGCGCAACTCGAAGGACGCGACGGTGACCCGCTAATCCTGCACGAGCCCCAACTTTTTCCCCAGCTCTTCCTGCGCTGCCGCGAATCGCACCTCCATGCCGAGGTGGGCCGGCAAGACGCCGTGGATGTCCCCCGTCTCGTGCGCGCACGGGACGTTCAGGAGACGCCGGCCCGCGTCGGGATCGCCCTGAATCGCGCTGCGCTCGTCAACGGCCTGCAAGAAAACGAAGGGCACGCCCAGGCGCCTCGCGTCGCGACGAACGCGCGCGTTGATCCACCTCGCCAGCGTCTCCCAGTAGACGCCCACGCCGTAGCCGAGCCGAAAGTTCTCGCGCTGGTGCCGAGGGTCCAGGTCGCCGCGGTTGTCCGACGCCAACGTCTTCTCCCAGTGGGAAGGGCTTGCCCTCGCGCTTGCAGCCCAGGAACGCGATCAGAGGGCCCCTGGGCTCGAAGCGCTTCGTGCCCTTCAGCTCGAAGACGCAAGGGATCTGAGAGAAGACCTCGATGGCGTGTTGAATATCCACCGTTGGCGGCTCCGCGTATTTGTACGTGAGTCCGTCGTCCAGGAGATCGCTCACGTCCGTCAGGAGGCCGATGCTGCCCGTGGGCTTCAGCAGCAGGAAATCGCCGAGGTGCGGCACAATAGGAACGCGCCCGAAGTGGTGGTGCGGCCGCTTGTAGGTGGACTCCTGCACGTCATGCGTGTCACTTCGTCCGTGGCACGCGCGAAGGCGCAGCGCGTTGTAGAGCGCTGCCGCCAACATACTCACCTCCTCGATGGCCAGAACGCGGACGTGCTGCATAGGGAAGAAGCTCCCACCTGAGACGTCCTCGCATTTCACTCACAGACGAGGCTCCGCCTGATACTTCCTCCATATTCAGGCCTCCGCACCCCAAAAGTAACGACGGTTACAGGCATCCGATGACCCGCTCGGATTAAAAAATGAAGTGCGGGCCCCATATGGACAGGGTTCCCGCCTGAGACATTCAGGCCTCAGGAGCCCAAAAGTGACGACAGTTACAGTATCCCGATGACCCAATCGGATTTTTTAAAATAAAAAATGATGAGGTGCGGGCCCCATAGGGAGAGGGCTCCCGCCTGAGACTTCCTCGCAATTCACTCACAGACGAGGTTCCCGCTCGAGAAGTTCCCCATATTCAAGCTAGGGAGGTAATGGGGATGATGCTGATGATGATGAGTGGTGATGATGATGAGTGGCCGAATGATGATCATGATGATAAGGCTGAGGATGAGAATGATGATGGTATATCGAATGTTGAGGATGATGATGAGGATGATAATGGTGTGAGTGTGAATGATTGTGATGATGCTGGTGACGACGGTGAGGATGATGATGAGTAGTGACGATGAGTGGTGATGATGATGATGATGATGATGATGATGATGATGATGATGATGATGATGATGGTGAGTGAAGGGGAGAGGGGTGGGAGGTGAGGTGAGGTTCCTGCGCGAGGTATCCAGAGAAAACAAGAAACCCACTTTGGATGTGGAGAATTACCCCGGCGAAGAACCCGACCATCTGCAGTTGCGGGCACGTTGTATGCACCACATTCGGTGAAGCTCCTTATGGGGCTACCCAAACGTATAATTTGGTGCGGCGGGTGCATGCGAACGCTGACATGTGGGCCTTCGGTGGGGTTCCCTATGGGGCCACGACACGTGTGAGGGGCGTGCCAGAATGGGTGTCGCGTGCGAACGTTGGCATTTGGATGTTTCGGTGGATATCCCTGTAGGGCCACGAAACGTGTAAAGAGTGTACCAGGATGGGCGCGGTGGGCGCATGTAAACGCTGGCTGGCATTTGGACCTTCGGTGGGGCCCCCTGTAGGGCCACGAAACGTATAAGGTGTGTGTGCACAAAATGGGGGCGGTGGGTGCATGCGAAC